TCTTATATTCAAGTCTTTAATCCATTTTGAGTAATTTTGTGTATGGTGTCAGATAGCAGTCTAATTTCATTCTTTCGCATGTGGCTTTGCAATGTTCCCAACAGCATTTATTGAAGGAACTTTCCTTTCTCCATTATATATGTTTTTGGCTCCTTTGTCGAAAATTAGTTGCCCTCATACGTGTAGGTTTATTTCTAGGTTCTCGGTTCTGGTTCCATTGGTCTATGTGTCTGTTTTACTGCCAATACCACATGTCTTTGATTATTGTCACCTTGTAGTGTAGTTTGAAGTCAGGGTGTGTGACACTTCGGCTTTGTCCTCTTTTCCCAGGATTGCTTTGGCTATCTGGGGTCTTTTGTGGTTCCATACAAATTTGAGGATCTTTTCTTCTATTTCTGTGACAAAGGCCATTAGATTTTGACAGGGATTGTATTGAATCTGTAGATTGCTTTAGGTAATATGGACATTTTAACAATGTTAATTCTTCTAATCCATAAACACAGAATATCTTTTCATTTCTTTGTATTCTCTTCAATTTCTTATAGTTTTCAGTGTACAGGTCCTTCACTTCAGTTGTTAAGTTTATTCCTAAGCATTTTATCCTTTTTGTTGTATTGTAAATAGGATTGTTTTCTTCATTGCTTTTTCTTGTATTTCTTTGTTAGTATATAAGAACACAACAGATTTTGTATATTGATCTTGTATCCTGCAACTTTAATAACTTGTTTATTGTTTCAAATAGTAGTCTTATAATTTTTTTAAATATATTTTATTGATTTTTTACAGAGAGGAAGAGAGAGGGATAGAGAGTTAGAAACATCGATGAGAGAGAAACATCAATCAGCTGCCTCCTGCACACCCCCTACTGGGGATGTGCCCGCAACCAAGGTACCTGCCCTTGACCGGAATCGAACCTGGGACCCTTGAGTCCCCAGGCTGATGCTCTATCCACTGAGACAAACCTGTTAGGGCATCTTATAATTTTTAACTACACTATTCAGTTTATTCCCTCCTCTCTCCTCACTCTGATATGTCGCCGCCACTCTCATATGCAAACATTTGCCAACAGAGAAAGGGCAACAAAATCCACAACCCCTGTCAACTTATAACCCAAATGTAGTAAGATTGAAAAGTAAACCAAAATTAAATATTCCTAATGTGATTTCCTGCAAACTTCAATTTGCATTTTGAAACCAGAGCACAAGGCGAGGCTGGTCACAGCATCAAAATGATAGACCTTAAAGCTACTCTTATTTTGAATAATCCCAATGATTTTTTAAACAAATATATATGTGAGAAAGGAGGAGAGAAGCAAGAGGAAAGTAAGAGGAAAAAAGAAGTTAAATATCTTAACCACAGACTATATAATAGTGTATTAAAATCAGAGCCTACCTCTGGCTAAGATTTGCAGTGACATGAGACTAACTAAGAGTGAGTTGGTTCTGTTTAACTAAATTAATAAAGCAATTGTTTTTATTATTTTAGTCCATACTCTGACTTCATAATAGCTACTAATAAACTAAACCACTTTGGGATTTTACAAGTGAGTTTCATTATCACTGTTTTTTTATTCCATGAAAAGGACTATGGTAATAACTAATAAAAGACTAAGGTTTTTGTTAATAAAATGAACAATTAAGCTTGGAAATCAATGGACGACTAGACAGAAGCAGAAATCATTTATTTGCTGGAATTTTTTTTAATTTTCTGGAGATGGCAATATTAAATGTGAAATCATATCAGTCCTTCCTGAACTTTAAGCCTATCTTTTAAGAAACTCACCCAACCATTTTTTATTCATCCCACAATACTGCTGCTAACAAAAAGATTTTTTTAATTACCCAAATTAAACTTCAATAATAAGAACTTTTTCATTGTACATTTGTACATCAAAATGACTTTTTAAATGCCTATTGACTCCGTTTTAAAGATCCCACTTTCAAGGTTCTAACTCAACAAGTACTATTCTAATTGAGTCAGCCACACATGACATTTAAACCTCTTAGCTCACTTGCCTGCCCTCTCACTGACCTTGCTTCCTCCCACTTGTGGCCAGAAAACTCAAGATAGTAAATGCAGAGTTGAGAGACCTAGGGGTGTGGGGGAAAGTTTCATATGAAAAAGTTATTATTCATTTGGCCATTTGCACTATTATGTATTTTTCTTTTGAAATATAATCTTCTGCCTTCAACGAGAGAGGATTTATTATATCATACAGTGTATGCATTAGAGAAATTAAGATGACTGCTAGAAGACAGCACCACTTAAAAGCCAAATTGTTTTTAATTGGTGTGAACTTGATGAAGACCTTAGGATAGTGGGTTGGGAGATAAGCCAGTAAGGCTATTTGATATTTGATAAGACTCTCACTTGGGAGATATAAAATAGATGTTTATTGGTTTTGCTATTAACCCTAACTGTTCAGATAGTCAAAAATACACACACGCACATTGCATACTTATTTTCATTTTTCATTTCGTTGCTGCTTTAAAATAAATGTTTCAGCCTTTGCATTGAGTTCATGGGGCATCAGTAGCATGCCCTTTTCTTCTCTGGGCTTTTCCTGTATCTTCTTGGTCCTGGAAAGAGACCAAATGCAAAGTGATCCACATTATAGGCAAAGAGAGCTGAGTGTTTAGTTTGCTCATCGTTTATATTCCCAGAATTCATCAGGGACTCACTTTGGAAGATAAAACATGGATCAATTTAGCTACTTGTCATTCTTACAAGCTTTATATATGTGTGGGGGGGATAGAAAGTAAGACCTAAAATAAGGTTGGAGATTATTTACCAGTCTCAGTGTGTTTGGCATCTTCACTAAATGTTCTGTAGCAGGAGTTAGTAAACTACAGACCACAGGCCAAATTCAGACCCTTCCACTACCCTTTCCACCTGACCCCCAGTTTTTGTAAATAAAGTTTTATTGGAACACAGCTGAACCAATCTGTTTGCATGTTGTCTAGGGCTGCTTTCATACTACGTTGGCAGTGTTGAGTTGTTGCCACATTAAAGACCTACAAACATGGCCACAAAATCTAAAATATTCTCTATCTGGCCCTTTACAGAAAAAGCTAGCTGATCTTGTCTTTCCACAATGGTCACTGACGAGAGCTGTGATAGGTGACAGCATAGTAATCCTCATTGCATAGGGAAAGCTAACAGGGTACCGATCTTCTTGTGTGCTTGTCATCTTTTTGTATTTGAAAACAAAATTCAGCACCACATTATTAAACAAGCATTATTCATCACATTATGCTCCAGTTGGCAGACTTATCATTTGCTTTCAGATTTTTCCTATATCTGAAATTGTTTAGTATTTTGCATTTTCCTTTATGTCTACGGCCTGGAGTGTAATATTCAGTGTCTGTGTATTTGTCATGATGCTTGTTCCAGGAGCCAGGCAGGTATATAGGAGTGTGAAAGAAGAGTGTTAAGATTATTTTTGAGGGCGGATTTTGGTTTTATTTTTCTAAAGAGTCCCCATAGATAGCGTTATTTAAAGACCACAAGAGTTTTTAATCTTTTAAGACACTGTTTTGCCCCAACTTCTCTAGGTGCCAGAAGATGAAGTCAAGAATTCAAAAACAAGAGAGGGAGGGAGGTCACATTGTGAGGAGAATTTCTTGGGAATAATTCTGGGTGGCCCTTCCTCCCTCATCCACCTTCCTGACAAGGTTGCATGTGACTTTCAATCTCTCCGAAGGGGGTGGCTCCTTAAGGATAACAAATGTCAGGCCCTTCCCAAAGGGACTCCTTCCATGCCTGAGACACCACGCCAGGTCCCCCTGCTCTGTGCACAGCCCAGGCTCAGGCCCAGGACGCATCCTGGTTGCGGTCTTTCCAGTTTGAAAACTTGGATTGGTTTTCTGTGAGAATTTCTATTTCCCTAAACTAGATATGAACCATTTGCACTCGCTAGGATTGAATGCTAGAACCTTCTTATCAGTTCTTTCCTTTTCTGCCAAAGTCAAGGTTAAGGAGCCAGGTTTGCATGCCTCCTCAGCACAGCTCCCTGTGAGAAAGCAGTAGGATCGTGGAAAAATAAAAAAATGTTTATTCCAAAGTTCTTTCTCCAGACTATTTTACTAACTTTTTGAAAATGTTAGCAGTTCCCTCTGGGCTTTTTTCCCTAGGCCCCTCTCAAGGTCATTGCAGTCATGGCCATTGTTGATTAGTGGGAGGGGAAAAAAAATACTTTTAAAAAAATGTGGATATTGTTCTACATTCTAGAGAAACTCAGAGATAAATCGAGTCCTGACTATTGTGGCTTCTCTCTCAGGGGTTGGGGGGTACAGGACACACTTGTATGAAAGCACAGCCTCTCTTTACTGTCACATGCCTGTGGACTTAAATTTGTAGCACAGATTTTTCTCTGTGATATAAAAAGAACTGTAGTCCAGACTAATTCAAAGAATGTGTGAGGAACAAGACTGCTCCATTCTTGGAAACTTACAAAATACGAAAAGAAAACAAAAAACTTTTTCTGCATATAAATAAATCTTGGGAAGCACATTGTGCAGAAAAGCAAAGAAAATTACAGAATATGAGATCCAGACTAAGAGAAATACTTCCTTAAATATCTCCAAGCACTTCTTTTGTTAGAGTTTTTAGTATCAGAATTAGCCTGCTGTAAGAATAGCCAGCATCCTGCAGCAGGCACAAGTGCTGGGATTTAGAGCGAGAGAGAAGAAACCATCAATTCCCTGTTCGGAATCGCGACCCCTGTGGGGGCAAGGCAGGCAGAAAGCAGGTGGTCTGTGGCTGGAATGTCTTACAGCTGGGAGTTCATATGACACTGGAAGAGACCAATCCAGAAACAGTGGCAAGTGAGCTGATGAACTAAACGGAAGCGCCCATCAGAGGACAGGGTGGCAGGGCCCTGAGCACATCCTGAGAGGGCACTGGGCCATGGCAGCAGGTGGGACGCATCCCCTCCCGGTGCCCAGGCTCTGCTGCCTGGGGCTTCTCACCCTGTCCTCTTGTTTGCTTGCCAACTGCAGGTTCGTCCCAGAGGCCTGGTCGGCCTGCACGGTTACCTGTGGTGTGGGGACCCAGGTGCGAATAGTCAAGTGCCAGGTGCTCCTGTCTTTCTCCCAGTCGGTGGCCGACCTGCCTGTGGACGAATGTGAAGGCCCCAAGCCGGCATCCCAGCGAGCCTGTTATGCGGGACCATGCAACGGGGAGCTTCCTGAGTCCAACCCGGGAGAGACGGATGGCCTCCTCGGTGGCCTGCAGGACTTTGATGAGCTGTATGACTGGGAGTATAAGGGCTTCACCAAGTGCTCTGAGTCCTGCGGAGGAGGTAAGAAGGGAGATTCTGGCTCAGATCCCCACCATCTTCTTGTCCTCTTTCTGTACCCTCTCTCGCTGTGTGCAACTGTGTCACGTGACTGCCTCGGGTCCAGGAATGATAAGCAGGGGGAGGAGCGGGGGGAGCCTTTCTAAACATAAAGCAAACTGAATGAAACCCAGATGTGTCTCTCCTGGGCTTGAGGAGCTCTGAGATTGTCAGCTGGGAGTGGCCAACACAACTTACTCTTTTACTTTCCATTGTCATTCTGGTGTTTTGCACAATATCCTGATGGATCTGACTGAGAAACGTGGTTGACACGGACCCAGCAATGCCCCCAACTTTCAGTTTTACTCATCTAGGCCCCGGCCTCAGTGCACACGGGATGAACCAGAACCCAAGATGACAGAACAGCCTGTTATTCCCAAGAATAACTTCTAGTGCCTCTGATTTACTCAGCTGATTTCCCAAAGTACTATCTGTTTCCAAAGAGAAAGGGTGTGTAAAGGGCAATTCACATCGCGGTCACCTGTAACTGGAGGGGAGTTGAAAGATTGAAGTCTGACCCCACCGCCATTTTTCAGATGAGAAAACGAAGATACAAAGAAGCCGAGTGACTTGTGCAAGATCACACTGATAGTGCATGACAGCTGGGACTGGGCTTGCCACTTATTTATTTCTCTGTCTAGAGTGCATCACACCACACTTCTTTAAGCACCTAGAATTCCTGAAGCTTTCTCATTACGAATATGATTGAACTAGGGTTAAATGGTCCATGTATTCTGACCTGGTTCCTAGGTGTATTTCATGGTGATCAAATAGATTCAGTGATTCTTTACTTCGGGTGAAATCTGAATGGGATTGTGGTGGGAGAGGAAGGCATTTAAATCAACAGCTAATTCATCGAGATTACATTATAGAATGTAATTACCATTATAGAAAATACATTACATTCCTATTGCCATTGCCTCCCATTGAGATTTTGATGGGTGAAGAAACTCTGCTGACCTCCTGCCAAATCCCCCTCTCTGGCTATCAGTGTTCTGCATTCCCAGCAAAGTTTCTTGAGTGGTGTGTGTGTGTGTGTGTGTGTGTGTGTATGTATGTGTGTATATATATAATTCCCCCAAACTGCGTTAGAAACCATAACATTTTGAAAACTCTTTTTAGGCATGTTTTGTTCTGGCCTGCATTGCTCAGTGGTTAGAGTGTCGACCCGAGGACAGGAGTTTCGAGGGTTCGATTCCTGGTCAAGAGCATGTTCATTCCTCTCTCTCTCTCTCTCTCTCTCTCTCTCTCTCTCTCTTTCCCCTGCCTTCCCTTTTCCTCTCCCTCTCCCCCTTCCCCTTTTCCTTCCACTCTCTAAAAATCAATGGAAAAAATATCCTCACTCCTCAGGTGAAAGTTGAAAAACAAGGCATCTTTTGTCATTATTGAGAATGTAAGGAGAAATGTGCCCAAACTGTTCCCATGGAGTTGAAAAGGAATGAATAGTGGAACAAGTACTAGCAAAGAATCAATTTTCTCCAACACAATTTTTTAATAAGCGTTTAATAGTTTTGACCTTGAGATTCTTGTTTGTTTCTAAGCCTTCCAGTTTGAAACCGTGAAATTCTTAAGCAGTTTAATGGAGAGCCCTGTTCTCTTAAAACCTAAATTTTTCCATCTGATTCTGGAAGAGTTTCTTGGAACTCAGCTAATCTATGTTCTTATGGTGTTCTTCCCTCACCCGGAGGACATCTTTCCGTCCTTAACGAGGGAGAAGTGTTAAATCAGCTGGTGGTCTCTGAGCCTGGGCAGGAGCTACGAGGTCATGTGGAAAGGCCACCTGCCAGTGGCTACCATGGCTTCTTTCCAACATAAGGAATGACTCAAGAGTTCAGATGGTGTGTGTTTATCCCCAATTTCCGTGATCACCTGAATTGAACGATCATTATCTCTAGTCTAAAACAAACGTGCTTTGAAAAACATTACTTCTGGTCTCTCAGTTATGGTTCTCAGTTACAAGTCATGCCTGGAACTTGATGAGCAGATGGAAAAAATAGATGCAGTAATGGAATATATAAATAAGCGGATACCTTTATGTTTAAGAGTCTAACTATTTTGCGGATCAACCAAGGGCATAAAATTCAAAGTGGAGAGAGTATATGGAATGTTTTTCATGTAAAATGTTTTCAGGAGATACTGATTTAGAAATAAGACTTGGATGTTGGATGTGCCGTTGATCTCTGCCTGTAGGAACTGAGCGTCTTTGTATGACATAAATTGTACATCCTTTCTGTCCAAGGCAGCAAAGTTAATGAAATGCCTTAGTTCTTAACTGTCAACAACTGTGCCGACTTACCTACAGTTATGTCCCTGTGCCAATGTCCTATATTTACACCTAAAATGTCCGAGTTGAAAACTCCAAACTGGTGAAAATAGGCTTGGGCTATCTGGGCCCATATGATGCCCATATGCACTAAAAAATTATTTTGTTATGTGGGACAGGTACATTTTGAAGTCAATGTTTGGCAGTAACATTTTATTGTATTATCAACTTTGATCTTTCACCAAAATATAACCCACGAGGTTACATATATTTTTAATCATTCTTGCTGAAGGCAACCAAAAACGTACAAGATGGACAGGTAGATTTTTTTTTTAAATCAATTGTGGGCTGTAAGGCCAGTCGGGCTAATTTTATTGTTTTTATAATCTCAAGAGAGGAAATTGGATAGACACAAAAGTAACCTTTCGCCTAGCAGAGGTAGCGACCAGAAGGAACTAGTTAGTAATTTAGGCTGTAGTGGGTGACTACGTTTCCCCAAGCTGTCATCAAATATCATGTAATAATTAAGCTATTCTGAGAGAGAGAAACAGTGAAAATTCCATTTTCTGGAAGATTAAAAATGAGCCTAACCCAGCCGTGGGCAAACTACGGCCCGCGGGCCGGATCCGGCCCGTTTGAAATGAATAAAACTAAAAAAAAAAAAAAGACCGTACCCTTTTATGTAATGATGTTTACTTTGAATTTATATTAGTTCACACAAACACTCCATCCATGCTTTTGTTCCGGCCCTCCGGTCCAGTTTAAGAACCCATTGTGGCCCTCGAGTAAAAAGTTTGCCCACCCCTGGCCTAACCTGTTGGTGGCTGTGTCCTGTGTCCCACTATCAATTCCTCGTTCTATTTTAATTTCCCTATGAACGGTATTAGGTGTGGTCAAGGATTTGAACCTGAACAACTTTCTGACATTGAACTCCTAGATGGTAAAAATCAACATTGAACCGTAGCTGAGGGAAAACTCGAAATTTACTTCAACAAGAATGAAGACGTCTTATACCCGCTGTTCCCTTTTCCTTATGAGTCCTCTCTCTTTTTGCTTCTGTCAAGAAAGGAAAACTCAAAATCATAAACTACTGTAGTTATACATATGTTCTGCATTGGTTTAGAATGTCCTTCTCAGTGCATATATTAGCCTGTTTGGAAAGAGCACAAACTGGATGAGCTAACTTCTCACTTCCTGGCCGGACTCCCCTGGGCCAAGGATACTGTGAACTTGAAGGTGAAGTCCTCACAGTTCCTCCCTCCCTCCAACTTCCCACACTCCCAGGTCCAAGGCAGCTCCCTCACTCCATGTTCCTCCCTCCAGGCGTCCCCTCCCCCTCCTCCCCTTAGCCGTAATTGCACACTATGCTTAGAATGCCCTGCCCTTGAGGCATTTCATTCCATTCGTCAGGCCACAAAAATTCATTGTGTGTTGATGACAGGGCTGGTCCCAGATACTCCTTTCTTATGACAGAGCTCTGTCCTTCCTTTCCCCCACCATCCCGAGCCCCACCTAAAAATGCGGAGGCAACTGGCCTCTATGCAATAGACCTTTAACTCCTAGTGTTGTGGAGGCGCGGTACATTGTTTTATCATACGCTAGATTAGAATCAAGTAACTCTAAAATGCTGCTTAATCTCAGCTCTTAACCATCCCAAAGGTGATTTTGATCTTGAGCTATGATTATTGGTTTAATGTAAATTTGTGTTCCACAATCCAAGAAAGGAGACTACACATGTCCTTGTGGAAACTTAACCTTTATTACATCCATTGTTTGAAATCTTAGGAGAACCTAAATTCTATAAACAAGGAGTTCACACAGTGAAAACAGGTCACATTACTCATATACCACCCCACACACACACACACACCTACACCTGAAATACTTTTAAATAAGGCAAATGATAACATATTCGTAGCTGAACAAAGCCCAAATATATTTTATTTTAGAACAACATTTAGTATCTCTTAAATAAATTGAAAACTTAACTTCTTAATGTGTTCCTTAATATAACCACAGCTCTGGATTCTGTATGGAATTGTTAACCTCATCCGGCGCCTTGCTGTCATTACCTCAATAATGCCAGACTATCCCAGGGGGAAGGGTCAGTGGTGATATCAACCATTTCTTGTGAAATGTTTTGCTATATCATCATTCCATGGACTTCAAATGGCTCATCCCAGCTGGAACCAAGAGAAACACCCTGTAGTCAGCATTACAGAATACGATGGAGTAGCTTGAATGTCCCATACAATTCCCAAATTCTCTACTCTGAACTAGCCATGATATGTTTAAATTAAATTTCGAAGTTTATTAAAAACTCAGAAAAAAAGAAAATTTACATTCATGGCCACAGGGTAAATATTGTGACTGGTTGTGTTTTTTTTATGTCTGGTGTATGAGACTTACTGGGAAGGAAGAAAGGTGATACTGATTCTGGCTTTAAAATGTCACTGTTTGACTAATGGTCTTGTTGGGTGACGTAAGCCAGTATAGCATCACCCTAGGAAGCATTAGCCTGTTGTTGGGGTGATATCTTCTTGGAGAAATATAGGGTAGGTAGGAGGAGGGGAACAACAGGGCTAAGAAGTGATGGTCAGTGCCCTGGCCGGTGTGGCTCAGTTGGTTAGGTGTCATCCCATGCACCAAAACGTTGCCCATTCGATTCCTGATCAGGACACATGCCCTGGTGGCAGGCTCACTCCCTGGTAGGGGGTGTGTAGGAGACAGCGGATTGATGTTAAGCTCTCACACTGATATTTCTCTTTCTGTCCCTCTCACTTTCTCTCTCTCTAAAAAAATCAATAAAAATATGTGTTTTTTAAAAAAAAGAAATGATGAGTCAGTTGAACTACATCAAGGACTAATTGCAAAGCAATGCAGAAACTAAGAAATACAGGGGTGGACAAAACTATGTTTGCAGTTGTAATACAAATAAATAATACAATAATTGATAAATAATAATATAAGAATAAACAGTGTTTTGTGTACTCGTTACTATAAACCTACTTTTGCCCACCCCTGGATATGTGTATTTATATATAACACTAATTCAATGGATTGTCACATATTCTGCTGTAACTACATACAAATATTTAACTACAGATAGGTATCTTTAGCTATACAGATCTTTATATACATAGCTATGTACGACTGAAAGCTTATTATCGAGAATGTTTTGTCTCGCCTGTTCTTTAAACTAAACTCTGCTGAAATGATTCCAGACAAATGCCTAGGCTATTCCTGAAGATCTCAGCAGATAAAACAGCCTCTCAGTATTTTTAAATGTGAACGCTGTCAGCGTTAAGGCTCCCATACGAAGGCACAGCTTCATGTTTGTCATCTGTGTGACCTTAGCAAGTCTTTTGACCCTTCCAAGCTTTAGTTTTCTAAGCTGCAAACTGGGGATACAAGTAGTGCATTCCTCATGGAGTCGTTGAGAAGATTGAATGGTGCATGTCACGCTCTTAGCCTCATACCTGGCTGACCATGTGCAACCAGTGGGTTTGGACTGTTATTATGACTGTGGGCACCGGAATGAAAAGTCTGGTCCGGGAAGGTAATGACCTTACCCTTATCCTTGCTCCATGAAAGTCTCCATGACAGGTCCTGCCTGCCACCTTAGACCTGCCAAGTCACCTGTGCCCATCACTGCTCAGATTGCTGTTTTACGAGCTCTGCGTCAGGGGCATGCAGGCATCAGTGGGAACACTGTTTCCATGGTGTAGTCATTATGCATCTTGTTCTCTTTCTTTGTTCTAAAGAACTGCCCTGGCTCACTAAAGAAAGGAACCTGAATCACAAGAAACCAACAGAAACTGGAGTCCTGGATGCGAGGCCCCGGGAGAACAGCAGTTTACAGATTGCTGGATATTAAAACATGGCTCTGGGCCTCCCTTCCAAACACAACAATCTCCTGTTGATTAAAATGTAACGTGCGAAGGTCTTGGGGCCATTTTTTTTGTCACCCGGCTCTCCGTCTGCATTAAATTATCACGTTTCCACGTTGGCAGCTATAGGGCCTGGTGGCATTTTTTTTTAAAAGCATTTCAACATCCTGGTAGCAGCCTGTCCTCTCGGGGGACACTCCCAGAGGCACGAGCCTACGTGTACTTTCTCCCAGACCGAGCGATGCTTGACAAGATGAGATGGGCAGTCCCGGGCTTGAAACTGCTGTCTCTGACATGCGGCGAGAGTCCTACCAATCACAGGGACCTCCCAGCGGCTGCCTTGTCCACACTTCATCACCCACACACGCCCGCTCGGCCTGACAGTGTGATTTGTACACAGGTGTCCAGGAGGCTGTGGTGAGCTGCCTGAACAAACAGACGCGGGAGCCTGCTGATGAGAACCTGTGCGTGACCAGCCGCCGGCCCCCGAAGCTCCTGAAAGCCTGCAGCTTGGAGCCCTGCCCATCAAGGTAACAGGCATGTTGCCTGCCCTGCTACCCTGGAGCGTGTGTTCGGAGCTGGGTGCGTCCGTCCGTGGGCAAGAGCAGAATGCTTATTGTTACCCAGTGTTTTGAAAACCAATTAGCATCAGTTCAAACTGTGAGTCAAATCCACTTAAGTTTAATTGAAACCAGGGCTCTGGAATTCCAGCCCGATGGTCATGCTCAGGGCCCAGAAGGCTCCGTGCACTGAAGTGGTCCCGTGGCGTGACCGGTATGTGCACGTGCCGCATGGCAGCTTTCTCCTGGAGGGAATATGAACTGACCACAGACTCCAGGGTCTCTGCCACCTTGGAGCCTGTGTCCCAAGGCCTCATACCACACCCAGTGGTTTGGCTCATGGAGCATCTGGGTGGTATAATTGACCCACGGTAAATCTCATGCACACAGCATGTAGATTCATTATAGCATGCTCTGGGGTGTATGTGTGTCATTTCACATGCATAAAATCAATTAGAGCATTTTATTGTTCAGCCCTGCCTGGGTCTCATTATTACCCAACCCTGAGTCTTAGTCAGTCAATCCGATCACTGCCTCTGTCCACACAATTTTATGGTGTCTTGGGAGACTTGCCTCCTGACACTTCTTTGGAGCAAATCTCTGTGGGAGCTAGCCCGTCTCATCTATGATTCTGGTCTTAAAGGGACAGGCTTACGCAACCAAAGCCAGACTTGCAAGTTGGCTGATGGAATGAAGAATGTTACCAGATAAGGTCATACCCTAGGCATGCAGGGAATGCTGTTTCTGAATGGTATCTCTTCTCTTTCTGCACAGTATCCTGTAAGAAGACGCGTGTTGCCTTCAGGAATTAACAATAATTTGCTACTCAAGTTGATGCTGCTTGTCTTGTTTCTCAGTCAACTAACTGCTTTCCTTTGGGACGTAGAGGGTACAGATCACAGGCCTCCTCAGATCAGATCAGGGCAATCTCACAGTGGCACTTCTGCCGGTCACAGAGTTGTTCCAGGCATTGATCTGAATGGTGAGCCTGGCTTCCCCTTTCAAAGGCAGAAGTGAGGAGGGCTGCTAGGGCCATATTCTCCAAAGGAACCAGAAGATCAGTCGGCCGCTGCTTAGAGCCCCACTCCACTCGGGAGAGTGGCAGCCAGGGAAACAAAGTCAAGGGCTGGCCCCACTAGAGCTAGATCCAGTGCATGGAATGCTGGAAACCTCTTTTCTATTTCTGCCCGACCTAAATTTACACCTCCATCCTAACCTTGCTGCTCTCCTGTTGGGTGAATCTAAGCCCTAATTGCCTGGGCAAGGGATACAAACCCCTTCTATTTAACAGTCTTTTCCCCATGTAAGAAGAGGCTGAGCGGTTTCAGCATGGACAGACAACTAGGGCCTTGGCTAGGAGGCCCAGAGGCCTGGCTTCCCATCCTAGCTCTGTCACTACTAGCTGTGCAGCATTGGGCAAGTCACCTGCCCTTTCAGTATCCACATCTGCCAAATGATTGGAGGGCACCACCTCCTGCTCAGATATCCCCTGACTCTTCATTCTTCCGATTCTTCTGTAGAGTGAAGACTACTGCTGCTGCTTTATTGTGCTGATCATTGCTGTCACTTCTGTTTGTTTATTTACTCTCACTTTAAAAACAAGCAGAAATGTCTCCCTAACCGCATCCAAGTGTAGTAATGACATCCAAATGCTGTGATGAGCTGAGGCAATGTCGAGGAGTCGGTACCTGGAACTAGCTGGAAATCTGGGATCTGCAGCCACTAAACCTGCCCTTTCCTGGGGCAGCGGAGGGAATAGGACACAAGATGTTACTTTTCATCCTCTGAGTATTAACGATGTTAAATTAGATGAGCTTAATTTATACTGACTTCAACAAGGACTTATGTTCCGCTTCACTTTATTTCATTTGCTCCAGAGGCGCTTGGCACTTTGATTTTCGACTAGTCAGTGGTCAGACCGACAGGCCAGACCTCTCTTGTTGGGAATAGCCAGGGATTTCATGGGCCAACCAGACACAGATGAGCATTTGAAGGTTGATGCTTATTAAAACAACAATGTGGACACGTGTACAGTGGGCTGGTATGACTCGCTCTCTTCGTCCCATCAAAGAGCCAAAGCAGATTTTCACTTTAACAATGAGAAATGTATGGAGGTAACTCATATGGAATATTTCAATGTGACATCAAGGGGGGAAATCTCTCTCTTTCTAAAGGTTGGTGTAAAATGTATATGAAAGAGGAGGTATGTTTTGCAGGGGCGTAATCGTGTGGTGGTGTGTTCTCAATCACCTTGTGTTCAATGGGAGTAATTTAAATCTTTAAACCACAGAAATTTTTATTGTGCGCAGACCCGTGTTTCCTACAGATTTTAGGGTGTCCTCTGCTGGGCCCCAAGTTTCTGTACATTGTCTTTTGGGCTCTTGGTCTGTGTTAATGTCCATACGTTAAAAAAGCCATAGCATTTTCCGTGAGATGGACAGAAATGACGTTTCAAGTCTGGGCCACTGTGCTTACGTCTCTGAGAGGAGGCCGCTGGTTAAGGAGCTTTCCTAGGGAATTGTTAGTTCTACTGAACACCAGTTAGGAAGCCGCTTTTGCTCTTGTGTGTGCTCAGAGTTATCAGATCCCAGGGTGCATACCAAGGCCCCAGGGCATGTCCTATCTGGGCGTCTTTCTAAGATTACACATCCCTTCCCCTGACTTCCTCTGTGTGAATGGCAGAGCTGGTATCAGAATCACGTGTCCAACTTTCAGCAGGTCCGGGCAGATACGTTCTCACACCCAGCTGTTCGCAGCAGGACGGCTGTATTCTCAAGCGAGAGATACTGTCTTGCTGTTCCCACTTGCGTGTGTGTATGTGCATGCGCACAAACTGCCTGCATTTTGGGGTGCACTTTAAAAAATAGTAGTTGTCTGTTGAAGAGAACTATATTTTGAAGTTCTTGCTGTCAGCTTTATGTCTTACTCCTCCTCTCTCTGCAACTAATGCCTACCATAATGTCAGACACATAGCAGGGGCTTATTAAGTGTTTACTGAATAAATGGATATAAAGGACTAGGGTCAAATTTATAAGTCATAGGGTTTATACCCTATTACTAATGCTAGCTGGGAAGACCCCAATGCTGCCTACTCTCAATCCCCCATCTCTTCCCTCCCATGTACCAGATGGTACTGAATTGCCATTATTTAAGAGTCTCTTCCCTAAGTTGAAGACTTTAAATGCCAATTTAAAATATAAATAGCCTTAGGATAAGTAGCCCTGTATGTTAGCAGTCACATATGGCAACGTATCCTCAAAATAAGAATTGGAAGGCAAGCTTTGATACAGTGGATGTGGACACGGTTGTTGAATGAATTGTTTGCATTGTCCAGAAAGGAATTTGCTCATCGGGAGAGAGAGAAAGTAGTGTGTATCATGAGGACAGATGTTAATCCCTTAACAGTGTTGCCTAAAATTGTCCAGGAGAAATTAGGATTATTTTTGCTTGTGAGCTGACAGTGAGAATTTTACATCAAAGTTGATAATCGCAAAGAAGTTATTATTACAAGGCAGAAAAATCACTGTAGGTTCCTTCACTGTCATTGAGCAATTTGTGTCCGGAAGCCCCACCACCCTGCCAACCTTCACTGGTGGCTTAGAGCAGCGTATGGCAGAAATATCCAAAAAGGAGCTAAGATCAGTCATTAGGAAAGAGGTCAGCCTCCTGCTCCCAATGAGAAAGCTTTCTGAGTACTCTAGAACCTATGCAGGCAATACATGGATATTCTCATCCTTTAAAAGTCCAGCACAGCAACAGTGATCCAGAAAGGCATCCACTCCCCTTTCTCCATCATGCCCTACAACTCCACTCCCGTTCTTCTCCCCAGAGATAACCACTGCTGATGGTTTGATACCTGCCTTCCCAGAACTTGTTCTATGAATGTATATGCATATATGAACACATACAAATATATAAGGTTTTCTTTCCTTTGTAAATGGGATCATATTGATATGTTGTTCGGCAACTTGTTTTCCCACTTAATTAATGTGCACTAAGAACGGTTCCTATCCCTGAGGCCACCAAAATAAAAACCAGCCGGTAAATTGACACTATGCCCCAATTCTGCTGTGTCACGTTTAGCTGTGTGACCTTCCAGAGGTCACACGTCTTTTTGGATCCTCAGATTCTTCATCTCTAAAAAGAGGATTGCAGTAAGGACTCAGAAAAAATGAAAAAGTACTTTTCTTCTCCTTCCCTTTTATTCATGGTGAGAAATACTTTATTTTTGAATAAAGCAATGTTTTGTATTCAGGACTTAACTCAAATTTGATTAGTTTTTTCTCTCTTATTCGAGAAAAAGGCCTCACTGGTCATCTCCCTGGGCTATACTAGCAATGACATGAGCAGCCCAAGGAGAGCCAGAAACCACTACCTTAAAAGAAAAAAAAAAAAGAGTACGACTGTTATTAATTATAAGCATTTGATAGCTTGGCCAGTGTGTGTTGAAAAGATTTGGTAAACGTACCTGGAGGAGGGGCAAGAAGTAAGCAATGAAAGCCAGATGGCTGAAAATGAAGGAAATTCCAGGCAATTTCTGCAGCTTTGTTCTAACATACTTTTTAAACTAAACTTTTATTTCTCTGCAACAGAGAACAGCTGAGTGGTACAGAACAGATAAACAGTAAGGAGGGGGCGCTCATAATTCCTGGAACATTACTTGGTTTCTGCCCCCCCCCCCACCCCCACCCCAACTCCTTTTCTCAGGCCTAGGGTGGCTCCTAGAACCAGCAAGCACTACAAGAGAAGTTTGAGAATCCCTATTTGAGATGAGAGAGTTAAGAAAAACATCTCAAAGGTCACAGAGTCTCCTCTTTAAAAGCACACTGCAGAATGCCAATTTTATTGTACACTAACAAAAGCCATGCGCACCCGCACCAAATGATTTCCAATCTCTGATTCCCTTTTATATTGGCCTACAATGGCTCGAGCAGAAGGTGTTGCCTTTTTACACAGCCATGCTTTAATTT